GGGGTCGTGTTTGCTTTCTGAGCTTCTGGGAGACTTTTCTATTTTTCCCGTTTCATGTGTACTATACCCCCCCCCCTCGATCGACGGCTCGATGAGGAGGGAACCAGGGGGGGGGTCGTACGGACTTGACCAAAATCCAACCGATTATGTGCTCCGCGATGAAGAGCCTTTGATGAAAGTCGTCTCGTGAAAAACATAGGCATGCAGACCAGCTCTGAGCTTTGATAATGGTTTATTCTCAAATAACATTAATGAAGAGATCTGATCACATCTCACCTGGTCGATGAACAGCTTTTACCAGGGTAAAGAACAACAAATCGAAACAAGGATGAAAAGACGACTACTAAACCATAGTGAGTTCCGTTTCTTTGGAGACTCCGAACCGGGCTTTATGCTGCTCGAAAAGTTCTGTGAGGGCTTCGCAGTACTGCCGATGGACACGGTCTACTTCCTCATCGGTCGGCTCGTGCACCACTGGAACGGTTATTGGCGCTCCGACAACTGTGTTGAGTGGTCTTCGATGTGGCAGAAAGCCGAAGTTCAACTAAAAGTATAGCTTCAGATGTCTTAAGGGCCTTTATTTCGAAGCCAGATCGCATGGGCGGAGTAAGGCCTACCGTACCAATACTCTGTCCTCACTGCAACGCTCCTCCTCTTGATAGCAGCAGAAATGAGGGCGCGCAGTGAGGCTAGCACAGTGGAGTTACGCCCATACGGTCGGACCACGTTCTGATAAATGCTGAGTTTCACCTGTAGCAGTCCCCTTCCATAGAAGAGCGGCATCGAAACACCAAACAGTTTTTTCGACCATGTTTGGAACTTCCGCACAAACGATCCTTCAGGATTGTCAAGCTAAATAGCAAATGACTACTAAGTAAAGAAAGTCTAGTACATATCTCGGCACCACCAACGAAGAGCCATGCTGTAAATTTGGCACCATTTCAAGAAACGGACCTGATGATAGAGGTCGTTTTCTCCGAATGTGTATACGGGAACCAACGATGCACCATATCGGAGGGCCTGTTTGACAAATCCTTTCCGAGTGAGCAACTTCAATTTGTGCGCTCCAGGCCGAGCTTCAAGGGCTTCTTCGGCCCCGCCTGAATCATCCAGTCTCAGAACCATTTGATAGCAGTTCGGCTCAGTTCGGGGGCACCAAATTATACTCAGCTAAGTTTTTATAGGAGACCTTGTGAAGACTT